CAGGGGCTTGCAGGAAAGCCAGACAGGAACTGCCCCCTGGCTGGCAACTGGTTCTACCTAGGATCTGGATGCTGTAAAAAACAAAAACAAACAAACAAACAAACAAAAAACAGCTCAGTAATATTTGTTTTAGGTTAATTTTGGCCAGGATGGTCATACTGACAAAAATTTTTTCACCAGAAATCCTTCCAAATCATAGACTGTTGATCATCACGATACTGAGAAAATTTTTGCCTTCATGGGTACTGAGAAGACAGATGACAAGGTGATCTCTACAACTATAGAATAATATATCTGTGTTGTTCTAAGCCATCAAGTTTGTAACACTTTATTGTAAAAGTAATAAACTAATGCATATGCTAACAAAAAACTGTCTAAAAAAAAACCTAGATTTTTCTTACCTACATCCATTGGTCGTTCTGTATTTAAACTATCCATGCTGCCCTGGTGTCCACTTAAAGGTGCTTTTACTTGCTGGTCTGATAACTTCCCAGTACTGACAGATCTAAAAGGAATAGTGATGTGAATAATGAGAAAGCATATTAAAACAACAACAACAACAAATGAGTTAATAGGGATTCAGAGAACAGAACAAGGAAACAAACAAACAAAATGGATGCAAAATGATTTAGAGTAGAGATAAATTTCCATAACCAAAATAAAAACAGAAATAGACTATTCAAGAATCTCAAAAGGAACTCTATTTACACAGTCACAGGAAACATGTAGTTTTCAGATATTCCAAATGTATATAGTACATATTAATTGCATGGCATAAACCACTGACTGACTAATGTATTCTGGTTGCTTTTCATAACATAGTACTTTGATTGTGGGATTAGTTTTCATGTTTAAGGTTAAAGAAGGAATAGCCTTTTACCTGCCAAATATTGCCTTGCTTTGCTGATCAGATCGATGCCTCTCACCTCCTTGTACTAAGAGGCAATGGGAACATTCACGAGGGTCACTTCCATCTTTGGACTGGCCTTCAGCAGGTCCATGACGAGTAACCAAGGCTAACAAGTTGGAAGACGCTTGTGTTTTAGGGATTTTGAAAGGAGCTGTGGTCTAAAGAAACATAATAAGCTAGTTAACATGATCTATGAAATTTTATTTTTGACAGGATATATGGTATACTGCTCATGAGTATAGACTTGGGAGTCGGGCATGGATTCAAACACTGGCTTTTCTATTTATAGCTGTGTGACCTTGGACAGTTCCTATAAGCTCTATAAGGCTCAACCTCCTTTACTGAATACTAGTGATATGCACAGAAAGCACTTGAACCAGTAACTGCTCACTGAAATTATAATTAACTGCAATTAGTCTCATGAAGAATTCTTTCCATAAAGTACCAGCTCATGATATATAAAAGGGTTTAAGAAACACACCTTAGTAGGAGAGCCAATGATTGTTGGTAAAGGCGTTTTAAAGAACCAGTCAGAACTCCGAGGAGAGGACCCCATGTGCTTGGTAGGAGAGGTTCCAAGGCTGCCAGGTCGACTAGGCTGAGGTGAGTAACTGTACCCAGCCCCAGCATGGGATGGGCACACGGGGTCAGAGTGCTGCTTTCTGAGCTTCTGCTTGTTCTGATAGATATCCGTGAGGGTGGGGGCGCTCTGCAATCTAGCACCCAGCAAGAGAGACTGTGGTGACTGAGCCTGTGGCACCGGAGAACCTATCAACAAATGAATTCAACATTACATTAACCCATAGTGAAGGAGTGCAGAACCAAAACCTAGGAAATAAGAGGGCAGTGTGCATGTGCATGTGCGTGTGCGTGTGCGTGTGCGTGTGCGTATGCGTGCGCGCACACATGCAAGCTCCTGTGTATGAGGGCCTGTGTGGCAGTCAGAGGATAAATCAGGTTGGTCCTCATCTTCCACCTTGTTTGAGGCTCTTTGTTGTCTGTGCACACACAAAGCTAGTTGACCTGCCAGTTTCCAGGGACTGGCCCATCCAGAAGTAGGGGCAGTGGCATTACAGACTTATGTTATCATATCCAGCTTTATATGTGTTCTGGGGATTCGAACTCAGTCTTCACACTTACGCAGCAACTGCTTTACCCATGCAGTCAGTTCCCCAGCCCTAAGAAGGCAATTTTTTTTTGTCTTTTTGAGACAGGGTCTCCCTGTAGCCCCAGCTGTCCTGGAACTCACTATGTAGACCAGGCTGTCCTTGAACTCACAGAGATCCAACCTGCCTCTGCCTCCTGAGTGCTGGGATTAAAGGTGTGCGCCACCATACCCGGCAAGAAGGCAAATTTTAAAATAGGAATTCTGACTCCTGATTTTAATTCTTCAAATGAATGCATACTTGGGTTTAACAATATAATTATTTTCTTTTCTTACATACCAACTATAAGAAATTTTCAAACAATATTAGAAGACTGTAACGGTAATAAATCAGGGTTTTGTCTAAAAATAACAAGCATAAAGATACTTTGTCAGTTTTATTAGCAACATATTTAAAACCTAGAGTTCAGATTCTCTACAAAGCAAATATTTGTCAACAGATTTCTTGACTCTGTTTTTATTTTTCAAATTTATTTGTGTGTTATTTGGGCACACACATGCCACAATACGTGTGGAGGTCAGAGGACAACTTGTGGGAGGTGGTTCTCTCCTTCCACCGAGTGAGACTCAGGGACTGAATTCAGGTTGTCAGGCTTGGCACCTTTACTGGTTGAGCCATCTTGCCAGTCCTGATTTTCTTGACTTTTAAGGTCCCACTAAAGTATAAAGAGCCTGGCTGGAGATGTTGTTCAGTAGTAGAACACTTTCCTAGCTAGCACTGAATATAGATAAGATAGATAGATAGATGATAGATGATAGATAGATAGATAGATAGATAGATAGATAGATAGATAGATAGATAGAAATGAATTTAGAAGACTAGTCATCCTTTTCTCACATAAACTATGCTGTTACCAAACAAAGGTCACTTAGTGACCACTTACATATTGTCTGGAGTTTACGCAAACCAAACTATCACCAATAACATTAAGGGCATGCAAACACTGAAGCCAGGTTTGGTGGCTTGTACATGCTTGTACTCTCACACTTAGGAGACTGAGGCAGGAAGAGCTCAAGTTTAACAGCAGCTTGGAATTCAATGCAAGACCTTGTCTCAAGCACACAATCAAAAAAAAAAAAAACCCAAACAGCTTAGGAGACTAGGCATCTCTTTTCACATAAACCGTGCTGTCACAAATAAAGGTCACTAATATTTATGTTCCACTTACACATTCTTGGGAGTTCAAAAAAACCCTCAACAATAACAACAAAAATAGATCCCAATAGGAGCTTGGCTACTGAGACCACTCCCGCTGATCTCATTCCAAACCTAATGGTCACTTTTTCATAACTGTGTTCTACCTTTTATAGAAATAAATTTAATAAAAAAGCAAAATTTGTGGTATATGCGATGTTCAGGAGTTAAATTTTACTTTAAAGAAAAAAATTAAACCTAAAAATGAGTGGATTTTTAAAAATATAGAATTACTTCAATTACTGAACTCTTTTTAAAAAAATATTTTATTATTTTTATTTTATGTGTATGAGTGTATTGCCTGCATGTATGTTAGTGTACCCGTGTCATGCAATGCCCATGGAGGACAGAAGAGGCCGTTGGATCCCATGAAACTGGGGTTACAAACAGCTGTTAGTTGCCATGTGGGTACTGGGATTCGAACCCAGGTCTTCTGCAAGAACAGCCAGTGTTTTCAACTGCTGAGCCATCCCTCTAGTCCCAATTACTGGACTTTTTACATGCCCATACATGACTTATAAAATATAAGTATATATGTACATTTCCAGGAATATATATTACATAATAAAGCATCTTTATTACACAATAAACATCTTTTTTGTGTGTGTCTTTTTGAAGCAGGGTCTCCCTGTAGCCTCAGCTGTTCTGGAACTCACTGTGTAGACCAGGCTGGCCTTGAACTCACAGAGCTCTGCCTGCCTCTGCCTCCCAAGTGCTTGTGCCACCACGCCTGGCAATAAACATCTTTTTTTTTAAATTCCTTTGTTTTGGTTTTTTTTTTTTTTTGGCGATTCATATAGCCCAGGCTGGCCTCCAAATTGCTATAGAGTTATGGATGAGCTTGAAATTCTGATCCTCTCATCTCTACCTCCAGAGTTCTTCGATTATAGGCATGTGCCACTATGCCTATTTTTATGTGGTACTGAGGACTGAACATAAGGCTATGTGCATGATAAACAAGCACCTTACCAACTGAGCTAGATACCCAGCTCCTTGGTTTCTTAATAGTTATTATTATAAAGGAATCTTATTCCCACAGGGAGATACCAACTATATAATTTGCTTTAAAAATAGACCAAAATTCTAAAACATAGCAAATAGTTCATATCAATTCTGTTTTTATTGTTATTTTATGAGTGTTCTACCTCACAAGTGTGTGTGCAAATGCACTTGTGTGTGCAATGCCTGTGGAGGTGAGAAGGCATCAGACTCTCTGGAACTGGAGTTATGGATGGTTGTTAGCTACCATGTGGGTGCTAGGAATTGAACTCAGGTCCTCTACAAGAGCAACCAGTGCTCTTAACTGTTGAGCCATCTCTCCAGCCTCCAATTCTGTTTGATAAAGACAGGAAAAACATTAACTCAAATCCACTCAAATAAAATTAATAGAAGATTCTATTTTCTTACCTGAGGAGTGTCTACTCCTGGATTCATGGCCCTGAGGATGCCCACAGCAGCACTGACTAAACTGCTCAGGAATGGTACCAACTAGGAAGTGAGAGATGGAAAAAACAGGTAAGTATATAAGGTAAAAATACAAGAGTTTGCATAAAAGTGGGGCTTGTCAGACTGCAAGGCCCAGCTGACTGACAGCCCAGGTGCAGTCTTCTTATATCACATTTGTGCTGAGGCCAGACTCCTGAAGACTTATACTAGCCATCAACAAATTCAGGCTTATTCAACTGGTCAGAGAACTCTCGTGACAACTCAGTGTTTAGCACTATTCTTATAGTCTAGATAAAGCTTTCTTAGGATTTGCTATAGTCTGAGACTCTTTTTTCCTAATTTCCCCTCCTTTTCACTCTCCTTTCCCAAATGTCAGACCTGCACCTTGGTCTGAGACCCTCCCCACCTCCTCCTGACCCTCCCTTTTAGCCTTCTTAGGTAGTTCCCCAGGCAATCTTTTGTATTACAATACCTTCTTTATAGCCACCTCCCTAAGAATACAAACTGACCTTGAGCAAGGAAGTTTCAGGGTGTTTACATAGACAAGAGACATGTTTAAAATAAGAAAGGGCAATGTCCAAGTGATAAGGCAACAGGCCTTTTTGACTTTTAGAAGAAGGTTTGAATCTTTTCTTTGGAGACCATGGGGTACTTCAGGAACTTCTGTAGAAATGAAGGAAGGCTAAGATTTGGTTAGAAGATTTTTTTTAATTATTATTTTTATGTGTATGAATGTATTGACTGCATGTGTAAGTGCCTTCATGTTGTGCAGTGCCCTAGGACGTGAGAAGAGGTCGTTGGCTCTCCTGGAACTGGAGTTACAGATGGTTGTTAGCCACCGTATGGGTGCTGGGAATTGAACCTGGGTCTTCGTCAAGAACAGTCAGTGCTCTTAACCACTGAGCCATCTCTCCAGCCCCAAATAAAAAGATTAAAAAAAAATCTTTTTTTTCTTCTTTTCATGTGTGTGTATTATGTAGGCCTGAGGTTGATAATGGGAATCTTTCTCACTCTTCTACCTTAAATCTAGGAGTCCGGGTCTCTCATTTAAACCTAGAGCTCACTGATACAGCTACTCTGGCTAACTAGCTTGCAGGTGGAGGTGAGAGATCTCCTATGTCTGCCTTCTGAGTCTGAAATTACAAGTGGGCCACCCTGCCCGCCTAGCATTTACATGGATCCTGTGGATCCAAAAACATCTGGGCTTCATGGTTGCCTGGCAAATGCTTTAACTACTGATTCATCTCCCTAATACAAAGATTTGTAAGGGGAAGTTGGAAGTGGGATACAGTACAAAGGATGGGAGGGATATGGCCTACAATCAGCAGAAGCACAGCCATCACGACTAGTTTTCCTTGAGAAAATGTGCCCTTCAGCTTTGTTATAGGAAAAAAAGACTTAAAATAATTACATTCTTCTTACCTAAAGGGGATGGTGAGTAAGGCCTAGAAGAGCCAGTAGAGAGTCTTCGTCCTACTGTCTGTACTGTGTCTGCTGGCACAGGGGAGCAGGACCCCAGTCTGAGGAAGCCCATGGGACTGGTGTTAGACCTTCGGACCACTGCAGATCTGGAAAGAAAAAGATAATTACTTCCTGTCTGGCAGGATCTAGGATCCCACTTTATTTCTGTTATTTTATTTTTTTTCTAATATTTCCTAACAACATTCCATATAGAAGAGTGTTTTAAAACACTAACAAAAACTGGGTATTGTGGTGAACGCCTTTAATCCCAGCACTCAGGAGGCAGAGGGACTGGATCTCCGTGAGTTCAAGGCCAGGCTGGTCTACATAATGAATTCCAGGCCAGCTGGGGTTACAGGGAAACCATGTCTCAAAAAGACCAAAAAAGGCCAGGCACGGTGGTGCATAAATATTGATTTTAAAATAAAAAATGAGTGAATTATAATTAACCTAAGGTTATGATAAGTATATTTTCCAGAAATTAAATTAGTGGGAAACACCAGAACTTCACAGTTAAGACCCTATTGTTGGATTCTAGAACAAACAAGGAGCTTTCATAGTGTTAGAAGGTGCTATGCAAGCTACCTGAAGAGAAAATTTATCATGAAATACCTAGCAGTGAGTCCTGTGAGTTACAACAACTGGCATGGCAAGATATGTCCATTGGTGCAATAGTGACACTAATATTATACTACTTTCTAATTGGATTTAAGGTCTGCTTCACAGGATGGAGCCCACACTTGACAATGATATCAGGCCTAGGAACCTGAGGCTAGATGGCCCACAGACCACGGGGGAGAATCTATTACAATTATTCTCCTATATAAATATGGTATTAAACGAATTTCTAATGACTTTTTTTTTTCTTTTTGAGACAAGAGCTCCCTATAGCCCCAGCTGGCCTGGAACTTGCTATGTAGACCAGGCTGGCCTTGATCTCACAGAGATCTGCCTGCCTCTGCCTCCCAAGTGCTGGGACTAAAAGGGGTGTGCCACCATGCCTGACTCTAATGACTGATTTTTATACCTACAGATCAATGCACCTCTCAACTCTTACCAGAGAAGATTCCTTATACAGCAGACACAGAGAACCATAACTGGCCAATGTGCAGAGAATAAGAGGCTGCAGATGGTTTATACCTGAACAGACACCTATGTCAATTTCTGCCTCTTAAGGCTCACAGATCATTGTGGAAGAGGAGGCAGAAAGATTTATGTAAGAGTCAGAGGAGGTGGATTACTACAAAGAAACAGCTTTCCATACAGCTAGTCAGTTACACGTCTGAAGTCACAGCAATGGTGACAGTATGCACAAATCCCATGTAAGCTCAAGCCAGACATGGGGAAGTGGATAAGAAGCTCCAACTCTATCTACAGAAATTGTGGTACAAATGGCTGCTGGGATGGGCAGAGAAAATCTCTTGGTAGGTTAAGCAGGCTCCAGTGGATGACTCCACACTAAAAGGCATTTGGGGACACAAACCTGACTCTATAGGCCTTAACAGATATATTAGAGTATGGAAATTTTTTATTTTTTGTCTTTTTGAAGCAGTATCTTCCTGTAGCCCCAGCTGTCCTGGAACTCACTATGTAGACCAGGCTGGCCTTGAACTCACAGAGATCCGCCTGCCTCTGCCTCCCAAGTTTTAGAGCATGGAAAATTTGGTGGTGGTGAGAGGTAGTAAGGAGGGGTACGGATATGGGAGGGAATCTAAATACGATCAAAATATATAGTATGAAACTGAAAAATTCTATTTAAAAGAGAAAAAACAGAGGAAAAAATAATGGAAACACAGTATTTACTTTTCTACAGATCTTTAAAAACTTGCTTAAAAGAAGACATTTGGCTGGGCGTGGTGGTGCATGCCTGTGGTCCCAGCACTTGGGAGGCAGAGGCAGGTGGATCTCTGTGAGTTCAAGGCCAGCCTGGTCTACATAGTCAGTTCCAGGATAGCTGGGGATACAGGGAGACCCTGCTTCAAAAAAAAGACATTTGAAATTTTTTTTCTGTGTGTCTTTTTGAGACAGCGTCTCCCTGTATCCCCAGCTGGCCTGGAACTTGCTATGTAGACCAAGCTGGCTTTGAACTCAGAGATCCGCCTACCTTTGCCTCCCAAGGACTAAAGGCATGTGCTACCACATTTGAATTTTCGTAATTTGGCATTCAAGTTGCCATTTACTATATTATTTGGGGTAAAATACATGAAAAAGAACCAAGCTTACACAGGCATGTCCTAGGAAAGTGAAAATATTTTGGTAGCATTTCCAAATAACTATGATACTCCCTTGATATTAAGCATATAGTGGTAGCAATTACAGGATAATAAGGGGGAGAGTTCAAATAAAGAAAAAGATCCTGAAGATTGCCCAGTAACAGATTGAACAGCCCCAAAAATAAAAATTGAACAAGTCAGACAAAAACCACCTATCAACAAAAATAACCTTTACCCCCCTCTTCCCCGCTACAAATCCTCATGGACTGAGGAAGACAAAGGCCCAGATATTAAAACCCAGATTTCAAAAACTTCCAAAGACTCCCAGATAAATCCTCTTCCCCCTTCACCGCCAGCACCACCATCTGCGGCGCCACCCCCCACAGCCATTGAACGGCTCTGTAATCTCAGGGATAATGGGAGCTATTACCTCCCAAATCCTCAGCCACAATGACCCAAAAAGCCCACCTACAGAAGCCTTCCCCATTAACCTACAAATAACAAGACAATGTCCATTGGCTTGGTACCCACTCCTGGCAGCAGACTTAAAAGAACTACTGTCAAGCTGTCTGCAAGGACGGGATCCATGCTCCATGGACCAAATCTATATTACAAACCTTTAATACTAGCCTCCTAACCTCCCAGGACTGGAGAGATATCTGTCGATCCACACTCCCCAGTCCATTATTTGTACAAAATGGGAGGCTTTATTTAGAGATGAATGCCTGATACACGCTAAAAAGATTGACATACATAATCAACAACTAAGACCACAACAAGGGCAAGATCCACCATGTGGATTCATAAATTGGAATTATGACCAACTGTTCGGTCAGGGCAATTTTTCCACAGGACTTCAACAAGCAGTGATTCCTGCCAGCTGTTTTGAACAGGTCTGCTTATGTGCACTATAGGCCTGGGACCGCCTAACCCCCTTGTCCACAGGGCCTGAAGAGACTGCTTCATTAACCTTCCTAAAACAAAAACTAACTGAAACCCTCCCAGATTTTATACTAAGAGTGCAGGCCAGTTTAGATAGAAAAATAACAGACCCCACAGCCAAAGCAATGCTTCTAAACAACATCGTCTGGGAAGGGATGACCCCTGAACACAGACAAGCATCCCAGGTACTAAAAAATGAACATTACGACAAATGGATTGTGGCCACCCTTGACATTGGGACTGCTGCATACCAGGCCTCCTCCCTTGCCCAGGCCTTTATAGCTGCAACCCAACCCAACTCAAAATGTTTTAAATATGGGGAAACTGGACACTGGAAAGAAAATTGCCCCAAAAATGGTTCGGTTGCCCCTTGACCTCCTAAAACCTTCTGTCCTCGCTGTAGAAAGGGCTTTCACTGGAAAAAGTATTGTAAATCTAAATATGACAGAGATGGCAAACTTTTGCCACTTTTAAACTCCTCTTGGGGCAACCCTCAGCCCCGCTAACAAGAGGGAAGCCACAAACATTATGGGTAACCAGCATTACAGAAAATACCCATCCAAAATTAACCATAAAAATAGACAATAATCCTTTCAAATGCCTCCTTGACACTGGGGCTGATAAAACCATTTTAAGGTGCTCTGAGGTTCCCCCACACTGGGAGTTAATACCGGGACCTCAACTGATGGGAGTAGAAGGCCCCTCCCGAGGATTCATCACTAAAAAAACTTCTATAAATGGGAGGATCCTGATGGAGAGGTCCGCACGATAAGACCCCTGATTGCAGATATAGCCACAAATCTCATAGGACGAGATGTCCTGGAAGACCTCAATGTAGTTCTTGCCAGTGGATCTGAAGGAGAGTGCCTTCAAATAGATGATCATATGAGGTTCCTAAAACAAAAAAAACCCCAATCCTAATGGCCACTGTTGATTACCAGACAGCTGAGTCACATTAGGCCCTCCAGGAGCCCATGGAACACCCCAGTCTTTGTAATAAAGAAAAAGAGAGGGGCATGGCGACTGCTACAAGACCTCAGAGCCATAAACAAAACCATGAAAATATGGGGATCACCCCAAAGAGGCCTGCCCATGATCTCTGCCATCCCCATTAATACACCCCTGTTAGTCCTAGATATAAAAGACTGCTTAGTCTTCATCTGTTTACATAACAATGATTGCCACCATTTTGCCTTCTCAGTTCCAAAAATGAACAATTCTGGGCCAGCCGATCGATATGAATGGCAAGTTCTGCCACAGGGTATGGCAAATAGCCCTACAACCTGCCTGGAGGCCGTTGCAAATGCACTCTCACCCCTTCTGAAAAAAGGCCTACATGTTTATCATTACATGGATGACCTCTTGGTCTGGCAAGACGAGGATTCCTCTCTGGAGGACCTGAGAAATTCTATGATAAACACCCTAGAAACAAGAGATCTTATGATAGCCATAAATAAGATACAATCAGTTCCCCCCATTACCTTCCTGGGGACTGAATGCCTACTACTGTTAGACACCTTAAATCTATCCTGGATACTCCCCCTTCCCCTTACCCCTAATTCCTTTCAGAGCTTTTTAGGCAACATTAATTGGCTAAGGCCCTGGCTTCCCATCCCCCCCAAGTCAATTACAGCCACTCTTTAATCTCCTAAAGAGAGACAAAAACCCAGCCTCCAGACAGTATCTAAACCCAGATGCCAAAAAGGCTCTCCAAATAATAACCACTTCCAAAAGGCAACACTAGCCAGATATGACCCCAAGGTACTGGTTCAACTCTTAATTTTTAACTCCTCCCCCACCATGGTGGGAGAAATTTATCAGCCACAGGGAGTACTAGAATGGCTTCATATGCCAGTAGGGGGTGCTCCTCGTTTTCTTATAGAAGTAGACACCCTTCAGATCCCTACAGATTATAGGAAAAGAACCTGATACCCTCATTATCCCCTTCCCAT